GCTAAGCAACCGAAGACTCTGAGATTACCATATGCAGGTTTATTTTTGAAAAGGATTTCAAAAGGAGTTTTGTTATCCAAAATGGGTGTAGGAATTCTGTTTATTAAGAACACAGAGGTTAAAACAAAATCACCCCAATATTTCATAGGCAATCCGCTCTGAAATTTCAGAGCCCTGGCTACATTCAATATATGTTGATGCTTCCTCTCCACCACAGCGTTTTGCTGAGGTGTTTCAACGCATGAAGTTTGGTGTATTATTCCATTGTCAGAATAAAATTGTTTTAAGGCAAATTCTCCTCCATTATCAGTCCTAATAACTTTAATTTTGGAAGAAAATTGTGTTTCAATCATTTTGTAGAAATTTTGTAAAGCAGTTGAGGCGTCTGATTTTGATTTCAGCAAGTAAACCCAAGTGCATCGACTATGATCATCAACAATAGTAAGAAAATATTTTGATCCTTCATAAAAAACATCGGTACACGGTCCCCATAGATCACAATAAATTAAATCAAAGCATTTTTCTGACGTGTAAACTAACATTGAATGGTTTCCTATGAAGTTTAGCTAAGGGGCAGATATGACATGGTTTCATGGTGTGTTTGGGATTGAGGTCTTGATGAAGGTTGGTCAGACGGAGTCTAGGATCTGAGGGATGACCCAATCTGAAGTGCCACAGGTCATGATCCTCTTGATTGGCAGTAGCAGATATGGTGATTTTGCTGGCGAGTTCTGGCATTTTCTGAATCAAACTATCAGGGGAGACTTTATTTTGCACTAAATGGTATAAGCCTTGCCTCACTTCACCCAGACCAATCGTCTTCCAAGTTGAAAGGTCCTGCATGAAACACAAGTCAGATGAAAATATGAGGCAACAGCTTGATGTTTTAGCAAGTTTCCTAGCAGATATCAGATTAAAAGAAAATGATGGAACAAGAAGAGCATCATGAAGCTGCAGATTTTCTGTGATCTTAACATTTCCTATGTGAGTGGCAATGGTAATATCTCCATTAGGAAGTCTAATGGGGTGTGCAACTTCAGATTTAATTTTTGTGAAGCATGAAATGGAGCAGACCATATGGTCAGTAGCTCCAGTATCTATGATCCAAGGAGTGGATGAAATTCTATCTTTATCATCATGAGCTGTCAAGCATGTATAAGTACCAGAAATTTTGAGTGCATCAGTGTTACTTATGGAAGAGGAATTTGAAACATGATTGGCAGAGAGGGAGTGTGAACGATTGATTGGTGGTTTGAGCAAGGCCATGAGTTGAGTGTATTGCTCTTGGGTTAAAGCAACTTGGTTCCT